TAGAATTGCGGAAAGAAAGAATAGAACGTCAAAGGAGACGATGAATGCCCAGTTGATAAGTTCTGGTTTACCAAAACTTGTGGGGGGGAAGCTATGCTTACAGCTTACCGAATACTCATTCACGTTCCCCATAGAAAGACACATCCCATTCCATATAAAATGGAAAAGAAGAAAACTCCACTTGAAATATTTCCAAGTGTGGGGGATATTTGGGTAAAGTGTAAGTTCTTAAATCCAAAAGGATAAAAATCGGATCGAACACTGTTGCTTCCGTTTGATAAGATATGCAACAAATAGTAAGGCATATTGTTTTTTGATTCATAAATCGTAAAATCCGACATTCATATTAATATAGTTATCGAATCAGATAATGTTGAATTCTTTGAGAATATTTATCCGTATAAAAAGGAATGTGAGTCGTCTAGTGAAATATCTAAGCGAAATCGGGAAGAAGCAAAGGAAGGTACATTGAATTAGACCATTCCAAGATGTAGTAAACGTCAAAGGATAATTACTTTTTTTGGACCGGATTTTCTGACATTCTTGTTGGAAAATGAGCCTCAAACGTTTAAAGAAATATTGTCTTCCTCGGAAGCACAATATTGGAAGAGGCAGTCAATAGTGAGACAGAATACATATTAAGTAATCATACTTGAGAATTGGTTGATCGTCCTCCATGAAATAAACCTTTGGGTTCTAAATGGATTTTCAAAAGGAAAGTAAAAGCTGATGGTACTATTGACAAATATAAGGCAAGATTAGTTGTTAAAGGGTTTAGACAACGAGAAGGTCTTGATTACTTTGATACATACTCGCCGGTAACAAGAATTACATCTATCCGGGTGTTAATAGCATTAGCCGCCTTGTATGGCCTTCAAATCCATCAGATGGATGTAAAGACGGCCTTCTTAAATGAAGATTTTGAAAAGAAAAGAAGGTGTGTCGACTTGTTAAGTCACTTTACGGACTAAAACAAGCACCCAAACAATGATATGTGAAATTTGACTAGAAAATGTTGTCAAATGATTTCAAATTAGTGTATTTACACTAAGAATACTCTAAATTGTGTAGTCATTGTTTGTTTATATATGGATTATATATTAATAGTAAAGGCACATGAAACATGTGAAATGTGAGGGCATTTAACTTATGCATAACAAAAGCTAATGTTAAGACGTGATGTATATATTATCATGAAGAATTAGATGATATAATTCTTCGAACCCCACGAATCCTTAGGGATATTGATATGATAGTCGGGGAATTCATTACTTGTTCAGTCTTAGTGATGACTAATGATGAAACTACAAATTCGAAAGTTGTTTACGTGCCTTTCCAGAAATGATTTGTTCTTTCTTGAACATTTATAATGTTTAGCTCTTTTATGAAAGGGTGTTACCTGGAAGGCTGTGACTTTTCATGAAAAGTGCATTTGTATGTCTTGTATAATATGATCGTTCATAAACGAACGTATTAATACGATGATCTATAATGAGGTGAACCAACCGATGAACATGATCAAAATCTATTGCAAATTGGATTGTTTCATGAATGAAGGTGCTATAATTTGTATATCATATAGACGTATGAATAAATAGCATACAAATGCTTGAAAATGGCGGAGTAATTGCGAAATGTGTTTTATATTAAAAGGTTGTGGCCACAACTGATGCCAATCATTCCAGCTATTTTTATAATATATGATTGATACATTAAGTGTAGTCAATAATCTGATATGCAATCGAAAGTCGATACGTATTAGTCTACGACATAAGAAAGTTTGCATTGAACTTTCATGACAATGAAACGAGTTTTGAAGTATTTGAAATATACTCCAAATTATACTTTGCACTACGATAAGTATCCCGCGATAATAGAGGGGTATAGTGATGCAAATTAGATCACCGGTTCAACCGATACTAAACAGTCGGTGGAGGAGCAATGTCTTGGAAATCGTCCAAACAAATGTGTATTGAACGCTCTACGGTGGAGACTAAGTTTATAGCCTTAGACAAGGCCGGTGAAGAAGTTGAATGGCTCCGAAATTTCTTGGAAGATATTCTATTCTGTCCAAACCTTTGGCACCTATGTGTATACATTGTGATAGTCAAGCGGTAATAGGCAGGGCAAGGAGCGTTATGTATAATGGAAAATCTCGTCACATTCGACGGAGACATAATACTGTTAGACAACTACTCTCTAGTGGTGTTATCACGATTGACTACGTAAAGTCAAGAGATAACATGTCGGATCCACTTACAAAAGGCCTATCTAGAGAGGCAGTTGAAATATCATTGAAGGGAATGGGGCTAAGGCCTAGGACAAATCATCATGGTGGTAACTCTACCTAGCAGACTGGAGATCCCAAGAGCTAAGTTCAAAGAGATCAAACAAAGTTATGAATGACGGTTCAACATTGTCAAATAACTCAATCCATTCTCGTGATGAAGATAATGTTTAGAAATCAAAGTAAAGCATTAAGGCTTTTTGATGAATCAGTAAAGCTTAAAGCTTTTTAATGATTTTCTAAGTCTGGCAAGATATGACCAGATAGTGTGTCTATAGGATTACACGTTTAGAAATCACCTATGTGAGTGTTAAGTGTAAGCCGCTTTAAGGGGAATGAAAGTAAAGGCCCATTCTCTAAGCACTCATGAAACCAGGCGGTGTTCATGTCTGAAACGAACACAACCGTGAGAACAAAAAACGGTTAAGGGTTAATTGTGTGACTTATGGTTGTCTAGGTATACACCAAAGTTCGACGGTTCAAAGATATCAAATCTACCGATTGACCGAGTATATCCGACATAAGTTCACTACGGAAAGTTCAAAGGGAAACCTACTTATCCAGATGCGATTAATCCTTATTTGTGAATCACACAGTATTTTCATGCATGTTTTTCCTCATATGACCATTCCCCATTCATGTGGGGGATTGTTGCGTTTTTATTAAGGGGTGTGGATGGAAAATGGAAGAGGCACCTTTTAGATTGCACCTCTCCATATCACCCTTCCTTTGTCTATAAATTTAGAGGCTTGGCCTCATTTTTTAGATATGAAAATCAGACATGGAAAATCTGAAATCTTCTCCACTCTTTTATACATTGTTGCATTATTTTCTAAATAAACATAAGTGTCAAGTGTGATTTGCTCCGTTTATTGAGTTCGCTGAAGTTCTGTGATTTGAAGTGCCGCTATCACAGAATAGTTATTCCGTTCTATCCTAGGAGGAATTAATCCGTATACCTTGGGCAACAGTGAGGGGATTAAATTCCTTAAGGACACATTGTGCATTCAGTGGGCTCGGAATTATTTTACGTTTTGTTTATTGAACTAACGTTTGTTTACTTTTCTGATTTTGAACACAGTAATACCAACATATGAGGGATCAATACGAAGGGTTTAAAGGTGGGATTAGGGATAACAAAATCTTGGTGCGATCCGAGTGAGTCGTACTTAATGCCAGCTAGCGTAATTCGGGAGAATATGTCTAGTAAATTATGGTAATTACTCGGGAGAGAGTTACGACAGTCAGAGTGTTCATGATCGGTAGAGAAGACTTAGGCAAATTTATAGAAGACGTAGCGGAAACGATTCCGACAATAGGGGAAATCATAACTCTAGACCTCCATAATCTTCTCTCCAATCCTTATCCTTGTTAATTGATAGTTTTACTGCTTTCTAGTATTTGTTAGTTAATTAGATAAAAATAAACATCATAATCTTTATAATTAGAAAATGTTTGGACTTGTGTTTCTTAGCGATATTGAACAACTGTAGCTAAGCCTTAGTTCTCTGTGGGATTCGACTCCGGACTTGTAAACCGGATTATATTTGCAGCGACCGCTTAATCCTTTTTATAAGGCATAGTTGGGCGTGATCATATATATATATATATATATATATATATATATATATATATATATATATATATATATATATATATATATATTACTCACTTTTAAGCTTTGATGTGTGGTTTTCTTTATCTAAAAGTTATGCTGGATGAACTTTTTAAAAATTATTCTTTATATTTTGACCATGTTAAAATTTTTGTTAAGAAAATAGCCCCGCTCGCCAGAATTATAAGAAAATAGCTCCCCTGGCCAGAGATTCTGGTGATCAGTTAGGATTTGTGGCAAATTGCTGACGATCAACATAGTTATTGTGTGCTATAAAATTCTGGCAATCAAGGAAAATTCTGTCCAACGTGTTTTAAAATTCTGACATTGGGCTTTTTTCTGGAAGATTAACAGTATCACAAAAGTATCTTATTTTTGTCATTCTCTAGAAATAACTTATTCATCGTTGCTTTAATATTTTTCACTATCATTAATGTTTCGTATAAGTTAAATTATCATCTTAAAATTTGTACCTACTCAAAGTACCGTCATGTACTCATATCAGTGAAGGAAGCGCTGGTGATAACGATGCTTCAGAGTTTAGAAAAGAAGGAAAGAAGCGTGCAAATATATTCTGTAGTGATTCTGGAAACACCGTATCCCTGCATGGGAGGAAGGAAAACGATGGAAACTGCACCTTCCTTTTCATGGGCCTATTACCATATTCAATAATTACACGTATATACTTTCTCTCGAAAGTGCTCCAAGTCAGAATTTCAAGATTATGAGTTCTGAACTTGTCACGGAACCCATAGCTCATCCTAGTTATTGGGTTTGCAATCAAAAAATTTATATATATTTAATGATTTTTCTAATACAAATACAATGTTTAAACAAAAGTGACTGAGTTCGGCCGAACCTGTACCTAATAGGCTAGGTCCGTCTCTGCATGCAACAATAATATAAGTACCGATAGTTAAAAAAAAATAGAGTGCTAATTACAGATAAGTCTATTGATCTATGTTTATAAGTTATGTACAAAATTTTAAGTAAACTGATAATATAATAATTCTCAACACAATTAGAACATAGAAGTTAATCTTTTCCTATATAAACTCAATAGTGTATACTCTAGAATATCGTCATCTTCACAAAAAATATAATGTCGAACTACTTTCTCATTTCCGTTCTCACTATCTCTCTTTTCGTGGCGGTAGTGGCTACCGCCATTGAGTCGTCGTCGGAGTTGTCTGTCCCCGCCGGCTGTCCTGTGCCGGACCCTAGACTTAATTACCGGCCAGTGATCGGGATTATTAGCCATCCCGGTGACGGAGCCTCGGGTCGCATAGTTAATTCCACCAGCGTTTCGTTCATTGCTGCTTCGTATGTCAAGTTTGTTGAATCGGCTGGTGCTAGGGTCATTCCACTTTTGTTTGAGGATTCTCCTCAACTTCTCAATCAAGTTTAGTCACCTATTTTCCCTGCTACATTTTTTTAAGGGAAAAAGGTCAAATTTGTCCTTCTACTTTATAAAATTATTCATGTTTGTCCCTAGTTTTACTATCCATCCAAATTTGTCCCCACCGTTAAGAAAGTAAACAAATTCGTCCCTAATCCTAACAGAATTCCAACGTAGCACTGAGTCTCTTCTCTTTGACTACCAACTAGGCAAATTTTCAACCCAAGCTAATAAGATCCGCTCCTATTATCTGATCCGACTAGCCTAAATCCTTTTTTTTTGGTAATTAAATACTAGCTAGCCTAAATCCTTGTTTCTATCGAAAATCAATAACAAAAAGAGATTCAGTTTTTGAACCCAAGAATACTAAGAATCCAAATTAAAAAAGGCCTAAGAAAAACACAAAAGAGAAAGTTAAATAAAGTTTTGTCTCCAGAAAAAAAAAGTTTTACATACATTAATGGAGATGCGGTTTGGAGCTTTAACATTTCAATGGCTCAAACCAATCTGATTCAATACATCCAAAGATTTGCCCATAAATTTTTTGGGTGTCAAAGCTGTAATTTTTAGAGGCCTAATTGAAGAGGGAACAAAAGAACCTTTCTCTGTTATTGAAAAAGCCCTTGCAGGAACCAGAAATAGAAAGTCCAATTTTCAATAAACACACCATTTTTTTCTTCCTAAAGATCCGGCTATTAGTCAAGGATATAACATCCAACAATAAATTCCCACAAAATTCACCTACCCTTTTGGATCTAGAATCAATTTATTCGAATAGACAAGAATGGAGAAACAAAGCACTAAACTTTTTGAATAGGTAACGGCTGGTTGTGATGCAAAAATATGGATTCTTATGGACCAGTATAAGGGCGAAAATATATTGTTGCAGAGACGAACAAATTAAGAAAGAGAAGAATTGGTGGGGAGAATAATCTTGTTTTTAGGCTAGTCGGATCAGATAATAGGAGCGGATCTTATTAGCTTGGGTTGAAAATTGCCTAGTTGGCAGTCAAAGAGAAGAGACTCAGTGCCACGTTGGAATTCTGTTAGGGTTAGGGACGAATTTGTTTACTCTCTTAACGGTGGGAACAAATTTGGACGGATAGTAGAACTAGGGACAAACGTGAATAATTTTATAAAGTAGAGGGACAAATCTTTTTTTAACTCCTATTTTAATTAAAGCTTTTGCATGATTGCATCGTATTTAATTTTTTTATTTTATAAAACAATATTGGTTATACTCATATTTTATATGATACTATGTTATTAAACGCATATCGAGTATAAACTATTACCTTGACTTATTAATGTATAAGTAGCATGTGGAAGAAAATATTAATGTAGTAGTATGAAAGGCAAAAGGCATCACGTCAAATTTAATTAAGTAGTGTATTTTAAGTGACAAGGGGAAGTATTCAAGCTTACGAACCTCAAACTAAATAAATTCCTCCTAATTCCTCTTCTAAAAGTTTTGGTTGCAATATTTATTATTTAGTTTTGTATATCATGTATGTACTTTTCTAGTCTCTAGTTTTTATTAGATTTGCTTAAGACCCACTTTGATATCCCTTAAATTATTTTGTTGTGAAATAGCAAAAAATAAGAACATTTTTCAAAATGTTTGTGGATCCAAAAAGGGTAAGATTTTGGGTTATTAATTTGTAAAATAAAAAGAAAACTCACACAACTCCCCCCCCCC